GGTGGTGAAAGACTCTTTGTGGGAGTTTGAGGTCGATAATCGGAAAGGAGTGAGAATGTTCCTTGTCCATGATGGTTGTACACATGGTGAACTTCTTGAAATGGCTCAAGAAGATTATGATCTGAACAAGAAAAGCGAGATGGTGGAGCTGAAGTATTCCCTACCAGACGTGATCTTAAAGGAAATGGCTCTAGATACGTCCCATGTGCATGTCACGAATGATAGACAAGTGCGGAACTTGATCGAGTTATCTAAGACATATGGATAATGGGTTCACTGATGGGAGCATATGGATACGGGTTCACTGATGTGAACTTACGTGACGCGGATTCATCTACATCAGATTAAAATATTAATTTCTTTTTTGGGATTTGTGTGACCCCCTCCTTACAACTCTCGATGCAGATTCTCTAAGAGACCTAATTTCTTATATTTCAAACTTAGGTCTTATATTTCAAACCGAGTATAAATCAAATTGTTAATTTGCGTTCAATTCAAACTTTGAATTATAAATTTTATACTTAATCCTATTTTAAATATGGACAAAATTCGATTACATAAAATTTTCATCAAAAAATTATTCCGCGCTTTTAAACGCGGGTTAAAATCTAGTACTACTTTATACTTGACAAGAAAAGAAGCAGTGGGATAACCAATAATTTCTTTTTATAAAAGCATGAGTATCCCACAATCCCATTTTGGATCTCTTAAACAAAATTGAAGTTTCAAACAAAATTGAAGTTCCATCTTCTTCACTGCTCCCCACATTCCTCTTCTCACTCCAAGCTTTGCAATCTTCCCATCATCTGGCACCACGTTGACGTCTGTATATAGGCTCCTCCAACCTTTGTAGAGGTTTCAGGTGCAACTCCACCCTAATCATAAGTGGAAAAAATCATATATAAGAATCCGAACCATAATCATACATATATATATCATAAAAAAGTTAAAAATATACCTCAAGAAATTCAACAAGATCTTTGAACAAACTTTGTTGTGCGTTGAGATCTTTCTTAGCACAACCTTTACCACCTGCCTCTGCAGCGAGGTCACTAAATTGATTAGTGACTTTAGATATCAATTTATGCATCTTTATCAATGCCTCCTCAGACACACTTCCTTCTTCCACTGATCCATTATCAGACCCTTTGGCTTCCGCATCAAACTTCTCTAGAGTTCCCATCTCAAATAAAAGAGCAAGAGCTTCACCAGCAGCTATACGCCCAAGAAGAGACAACAGTTGTTATTACATCAGGTGAAGGTTTTGGTTGCAACAACCTACACAAAAAGTCAAGTTACATGTTAGCCTACTACATATCTTTAGATTAAATGAACTACTTTCTTAATAAACCATATTAGAAATTAAAAATGCCATATTATGAGAAAAAGAGTAAGATACATACATTAGAAACTAGTTTAGGGTGAATCATCTGCCATATTATTTGCATAGATCTCTCGGTTTGCTCTGCATTGGCTCCACCAACAAAAGTTTATCACTACTAAACACTCAAGAATCTACAGCGAAGTGGCAGGATATCAGCAAGCATATAGAATTTTTTTAACAGAATAAATAGCTAGACTTTTATGGAATCATCCATACCGAACTTATCCTCAAGGCTTCACGACCAAATTTAAGGGCTTGAGAAAGAGGAGTGACAGATTCTTCTAGAATCTCTTGTGCTTGATTCCCAAGTCCAACAGTCAAAGCTATCAACCCTGTAAACGCAACAATAACTGTTAGTATATAGCTCAATAAAAAAAAAGTTGAAAGATGATGCATAAGTTGATTGTTTCTTGGTAACTAACCAATAACATGTGATGCTAGTGAGGACTCTTTAGTGGGACTTTTCTTGATGCAGTGTAAACACTGATGCAACAAAGTGGAAAAGCTGCAACAACGTTGAGAATATACATTAGATAACAATCAGGTGTCACACCAATACATAGGAATTCACTAAGATTGTTGAAGAAGAAATAGAGTATGAGATGGTTACTTCTTTTGCAAGAACTCATGTTGCAAATCACTCTTGAATGCTTCGACAATGGAGGCCAAAGCTTTCTCTCTCGTTGAACTCCTTTACATCCATAAAGAAATTCAAATACCATCAGTTTCACATAAAAATCAAGTAAAATCACAACAAAACAAAAAATGATGGAGAGAAGGAACCCTACCCTTTCTCATAGAGAGCATCAAGGGATTGATCCAACATAAGATCTTTGTGAACGTGAACTTCATCCATGCGAGGTCTCTCAGACCGCATGCTGAAGAAGGAGCTTACACTACACATATCATCATCGCTATCAAACAAATCCATCGGGGCGTTCTTTGGCTGAGCTTCTGCAATATTAAGTGAATCTTAGTTTCTTGTATTAAAAGATTATAACTTCTCAGCCAATAAAAGAAACCAAACTAGTAATAGAACTTAACAATTTGTAAAGCACTAAGGAAAACAAATCCAAAGTATTAAACTGAACCTAAAACAAAGAGATTCAGGTGAGACATTCCCGCTAGCCTTTTCAAACTCCACAAAACCACAACAGGTGTATTGGTACCTTTTAGAGAAGATTGTTTGTACATTTAGGAGCTGCTCTTCGCGAGCAACTTGTGTTGGTGCTGGATCGCTTTTCATCAGTTTAATCTGTTGAAACACACGAAAACACTTGTAACATTTACTAAAATAAGAGAGATAATCATATATACAGAAATTAGACTCACGATTGAAGCATAGGAATACTTAGGAGCATCATCTCCTTGAAGCACTGATGGAATCTCACTGTGACTTAACTAGCTCAGCGTCAACAACAACGCCTTCATCTTTATCAGAAGGATCATACACTTCAGCAACATTTTCATGGTCTTCCTCCTCAATAGAAGCAACTGGCTCTGACTCCACCTCAGCAGCCTCGTGACTAACAACATGTTTTGACAAGAAGCAAGCACATGTTAACATCCTAATCCAATAAAAATAAAGAAAGTGTGGATCTTTTCATTGTACCTGGTTCCACAGAGTGTGAAGGGACCCTCCGACGAAATCCGTACATAAACAAGAAGACCGTCTGACGAAACCCGTAGAAGAAGCTAAAAAAATTTAGATTGGTGTCTGCGAACAAAAAGAATGAACGAGAAAACGAGACTAGAGAGGAAAAACTGATGATAAAAGAGTAAGAAACAAGACTCTCACCCAAAATCGCCATTATCATCATTGATGGGGCTTGAAGGTTTGGCGGAGAAGAGAGATTCGTGAAATTAGGGTAAAGGTGAAACGCAGCCCACCGTTTTACCCTTTTCACGTTTCTATTTTTTTAATTTTGTTTTTTTTAACCTTTTTCCTCTTTTTATAAATAAATTAATTTATTACAAAAATTAAATTTAAATTATGTAAATTAAAAGGCATAATAGTATTAAAAAGAATATAAATCTTAGTTACTCAAATAATCTTCAACAAATCCTACTATCCCAAATCTTAGTTAAAAGTGTCTTTTTTTTTCTTTCTAATTTTCTCTTTTTTTTAATAAGAAAGAGTATTTATATGTCAAGTTAATTTTAATTTTAATTTTAAATTATTTTTTGATAAACACCAATTAATGTAGACTGAAATAGACGTCTGCATATAAGTAGACTTTACTGTAAGTCTACTATACCCTAATTATTGGCGCCAATATGGAAAATAGGCTCCAAAATTCATTTTCACTTCCCGCTTAATTAATTTTAATTTTAAAATAAATTATTTTGGTAAACACAAATTAACGTATACTGAAATAGACGTCTACATATAAGTAGACTTAACTGTAAGTCTACTATACCCTAAACCAGAAATCTCAAACCAGAAAACCCCAAAAAATTTACTTATATATGGTGTGTAATTTTTTCCGGTTAGGTTAAATTGATTTGGTTAAATTTCAATCAAGTTAAAAATCGAACTTGGTTAAATCCGGTTAGGTTAATTTGGTATAAGTGTGTAGACTTACGGGTAAGTCTACAACTCCATTTTTTTTTTTTTTTGCTTTATTGTTTGAGCAAACCCTAAATGTATGTAGACTTTATTATAAGTCTACTGTAACCCTAAACCACAAATCTGATACCCTAAATATTTATTTGATAATCAAAAATGTTGTAATTATTATATTAAATATCTAAATATAAAAAAATAAACTTCTCAACATTAGTGTGTCAAAAAACAAAAAAAAATTAAAATCAAATATCTAACCCTAATATATGAATCTAACCCTAAAAGACAAAGCATGTTATACCATTTTGTTGGGAAACCATAACACATTATCTTTCACATGGTTACCAATTCAATATAAATTCTATTAAACTTTTCACTTATGTGAAATTTTAATTTATATATTTTATACTAATCTTTATATTGATGATTTATTTAAAAACTTCCCAAAAATTATTTTTATACATTTTTAAAATTAAATTATAAGATCAAATGACGATGTAGACTGTAGAATACGTCTACAAAGTAGACTTCTAAGAAGGTCTACAAATGTGTATACTTCTATCTATTATGTGTAGACTTGCAAAGGACAGAACCGTAAAATAACTGTCTGTTTTTTTGTTTGGTCACAAGGGTTAAGTAGTAACTTCATAACCCCTTTAGGTTGGTTTTGAATTTGACTCAATAAGAGGTACACCTTTAGGGTTGAAATGAAATTTTAGGTTGGTTTTGGCAAATCCCCCATATATTTATTAGGTTTAATGAAAAAATTAAATTAAAATAAAAAAAAATAACAAAAAACCCTAAATCAGTTAGACGTAAACCTAATCTTCCCCAAATTCCCAAATCTTAGTGAAATTATGAAGCATAGACATGAATCATGGTAGAAACAAGGTAAAAACTTTGTGAATTATTGGGAATAATGGAAAAGAGGCATGAGAAAACAATTGAGAAAGATTTGGCATGATTTTTTTTCCTTTTTTGAAAACAGTTTTTCCTTTTTTAATTTTTTTTTCTTTTTTTTGTCAGCAACATGATTTTTTAATTTTTGTTTTTAATTTTTTTTTTCAAAAAATCGATATTAAAAATATGGAAAATGAATATTTCCAAATATTTTATTCCTATATTTTCGGATCTAATTAACTTTATCCGTAGAATACATATTCTACTAAAGGTAGAACTCGGTAAACATGTTTGAAATCAGTTTCTACATGTATTAGAATGTTAGCAATGTGTAGATTCCGATTTCTACTTTTTTAGATATATCGAAATGTTTAGATTATGGTTTCTACAGATATTAGAAGGCTATGTTAAACGCATAATGTGTATTCCAATATGTTTTAGAATAGTATTACTTCCGTAGAACACGTATTCTGAGAAAAGTAGAAATTGTGGAAAAAGTAGATTCTAGATTCTAATCTGTAGTACACGGATTCTAATATCCGTAGAATAAAATATGAAATTGTGATTTACACATTTTTAAAACTGTAAAAAAATACCACTATATTGATATAGGTATTTCATCATTAGATACTATTTTTAAATATTTTTTTTGTTCATCAGTCTATTTATTTTATTAATTTCTGGAAATGATAAAGGGCATTAGAGTAAAAAATGAGATAAAATACAATTTAGTCTAAGGGGACAACTTCCTAATGGTTTTGGGATAAAAAAACAGTTTCCCCAATTATCTTTTCTTTGTAACATTCGTTTCTTTAATTATAATAAAAAGGGAAATTTGCCAAAAGAGGACTAAAAAACACAACTATTGTCCCATTAGAATAAATTTCATGATTCATGTCCCCTTAGAATAAACTATAATGAAAATCCAATTTAGTCCTTAGTATTTAAATTTTAAAAAATTTCAGAAAGCCGATATATATTTATAGTATGAGAGCATTAACAATGAATGACAATGACTCTGCTGGTAAACTACCTCTACTTTCTCCCTCTAAACCTGGGTTCAAACCTCCGGGTATGCAAGTATTTTTTTTTAATTCAAAGCTCTGGATATTGATTACCGGTTTACAAAACTATTCAAGGTTTTTTTAGGGATTTTGTACGAAAATTGACAATGCAAATCATAGGGTTCATCAATCATTGACAGTGTAACTTGAATCAGAGAGCAATACAATATCATTTAAGTTTGAAACAGTGACAAAAAACCATACCCTAAACTCCTATCTCTTCTTTGAATCTTTGTACTTTGTTAGAAAGAAATACTATTTTATAATTTTGCAGACTTTAAAGTTAATAAAATAATAAAATGTAAATGTTATATAGTAATCATCTTTTAAAAGAACAAAAATCATGTTACAAAAATCTTGGTAAATCCATACCCTAAACAATAATGAAACCCTAAACTCTGCCTGAGTAAAGAAAAATTAAAAAATGTTGTTACTCCTGGGATTCAAACCCATTACCTAATGGATCTTTTTCCATATTGTATTCCACTGACCTAAAGCGAACCGTTGCTTTGTGTGGATGAAAAAAATATTTATTCTTCCCCTCCTCTATCCTAATTTGAGAGTTACTTACGTATATCATCTACCCTAATTTGGCCACTTTTCCTCATCGTCTTTCTTTCTTCTTTTCGAAAAATATGACGAACATGAACAACATTGAAGGAATCTCTCGCAGATGCTGGTGTGGGAGGGGGATTGTCACTTATGTTTCAAAAACAGATGAAAATCCATACCGACGGTTCTTCAGATGTGAGATTGCTTTACAAGTAAATGTCATATATAAATACTTATCAATTCTTCTGTGTTGAGACTTAATTTGTTTTCTGTTCCGAATCAGAGAAAAAAAGAGCATCATCTTTTTAAGTGGGTGGATTAGGCTCTATATGAAGAGATTCAAAAGATGGATGACCATCAAGCGTTCATGGCAGAAGAAATTGAAGATCTGCGTGTTTCGTTGAAGATAGTGGAAGAAGAAGTTATGAGGAATAAAGCCTCTCGAGATGTTGGTTGTGTAGGATCCATTCTCAGTATTTTATGTCTCTGTTCCAAATTTGATTGATATTTTGTAATGTTTTCTATTTCTATCTACATTGAATAAGAACAAGTAATGGATTTCTAGTGTTATTGACATGTTTCAAAGACATCTAAATTCAATATAAATCAAAAACACTGCTAAAATCAACATGAAACGAATCATGAATATGAAAGATAACTTGCAGAAAAACAAAAAACAGAAGTTTATGCATAAAAAGCATTCAAAAAACAGAGGTTTAAATGAAAGAAGAGAGACCCATGTTCAAGGCAAAATATATTAAAAAAGGAAATAAAAATATTTAGAGAATATTTACTTTCAGATTTTGCTAGATTTTCGGATGGTGGCTCATAAACCGTTGGTAGAAGATACATTCTACCAAATTTTCCATTAGTTTAACCAGTGGAAACGTAATGCCACGGGCCTAGACAAAACATTAAAATTAAGAAGATATGTTCTGCCAAGGTAGACGCATGGGTCTTTATTATATGTTATGTTCTACTAAAACTGCATAACAAAGAAGGAATGTCAGTTATCATATTCTTCAATCGTAGATGTATATGTTTTTGGTGTATTACGCATTCTAAGCTCTTTAGATGGATTAGTTGTTAGTAGATTGTACACTCTAAACAGTCATAGATGGTAGATCTGATTTACTACCCGATTTATCCAATTTTTAAAATTACTATTCCAAACATTTTTCGAATCTAAAAATATTTTTCATATATTCACATGCTACTCTATTTCATATTGTATATTTTTCTCAATTTTTTACTTTGAATTTTTATATACAAAAAGGGTAGTGAAGGTCCAAAAGTACCAAAATTTGATTTTATTCTAAGGAGACAATAGTTGTGTTTTTCGGTCCTCTTTTGACAAATTTCCCAAATAAAAATAGTCTACTTTATTAGATTTTTATGTGATAGGGATGTAATCCAGATAGTCCGTTAATTGGTTTGA